GTAATGCAGGTTTAAAAAATGTGTATTCCATGCGTTCTTCCCACACTAGAAAAAAACACATTAGATCTAGAGTCCAGACTCTTAAAAACATCGACAAGAAAAAGTACTCCTCTTTCAATCAGAATCTAGCTTAAATTATGAACCGAGCCTCTTAATTTAAGCGGATTTTGTTTTGATTCAAGCAAGAATCCGATTGAATCAAAAGTATTGTTTCTTGTCAATGTTTCCGAGAGTTTGGACTCTAGATCCAATGTGTTTTTTTTACCAGTGCATGCTTTTTTATTTTAATACATCAAATTTTTCTCAAAGTAACTGGCCGCTACACTCTGTTTTATCTTTCATCCCTTCCACGAGAGCACCCTCGCCCCCAACACAAACGACAACGATCATAACTCGGCAAGACATCTCGACACGGCGCCCTCCAGTAATCCAACGATTCCAAGCAATCCGCTGAGTAAGGCCACACATCGCGGGAACCAACCCCCTCCCCCCCGGTCCCGCGACCCGGCAATTTAACTGATGGAGCCACTCGGCGAAAAACACGCGGGGGCGGGGGCGGAGGGCGGCGAAAAGTTGTCAAAGCAAGTGGTGGCAATTGCAGCGCGCCGCATAACGCTACAATCAGGTCCTCTGACAAATGCGAGAGCATCTATAAGCGCCCCCTCCTCCGCGCCCGGCCCGAGCGTCGCGGCGCGGACCTGAGAGCGACGATCGACGTCGCCCCTCTAATTTCCCCGCACTCGCGATTTCATTCACAAGTCAGCGCACAATGGATCGAGTCGATAGGTGAGGTCGGACAAAATTAGGAAGCTTTAAACGCATATAACTCCGTTTATACACAATGGAGTGCAAATTTGATGTACTTATCGTCACAATTTCCACTCTAAGGGGTGTTGTTGGTGGAAAATTGAGATGATGCATGTGTGAGGAATTTGCGATTTGACTACTGATTCTCATGTAAAAGTTCGTGAGAGACACGCTGGTGCCATTGGTTTTCTCTGAAATCAACTCCCAAGCTCAAAAAAAGCTCTCAAGTTGAGGTCAAAATGGAGGGGATATCCCACGCTATCCTGAGAGTCCACTTCTACATCGAATCAAACTCTTAATGCAAAGATAGGGAGCAGATACATTGACAGGGTCGCCGTGTTTTCAGTTTTGGAGTCCCCAAATAAAATGGCAGCCCTGTCAATACATTTGCTCCCTATGTTTGCATAGAGAGTTTGTCTTGATGTAGAGGTGGACTATCAGCATAGCGTGAGATATACCCTACATTTTGGCCTCAATTTGAAAGGTTTTTTTGAGCTTGGGAGTCAATTTCAGAGAAAACCAGTAGCATCATCGTGTTTCTCGCAAACTTTTACATAAGAATCAACAGTCAAATCGCAAATTCCTCACACATGCATCGTCTCCGTTTTGAGGTTCTATAAATGGTTCCATTGGTTTTCTCCTGAAATTGTCCACCAATAGCACCCCTTAGAGTTGAAATCGTGACGATGAATACAACAAAATTTGCAGTTTTAATCAAAAATTTCATGTCCGACCTCTCTAATTGACTCGATCCACTGTGTGACGGCGGCGTCTTCCGCCACCGCTCTTATCACAATATGGTCGATGGCTCGATAATGGTAGAAGTGGAGTGGATTGTGCTTTTTTCGAGCGTTGGTTCTTTTGAGTTGGGTCATTTTGGATGGGTGGTCGAGCTCTGGACGTAGTCAAATGGCCGGAATGATTGGATGTATGAGTGTGGGAATCGTGAAAACGTTTGTGCGTATAATGTTGTTCCTCTGAGGTCGAATTTTGTCGGTTCTTCCTCATCGAGGTGTAACATCCATCGATGAGTCTACATTGCACCACCGGCCATTCAGAAGAGCTGAGGCGGACTTAAGTTCAGTCGAGACTCGTTCTAAATCTATTTAAGTACTGTGAAGGACCGATAAAATTCGGCCCCTGCCGCACATTGGTTCGAGTCAATGGGAGAGGTAGGACAAAATTTGGAAACTTTCAACGCTTAACTCCGTTTTTACAATACCTGGAGGTTTAAAAGTAGTTTCAATGGTTTCCTCGTAAAATATTCTATAAAGAGCACCCCTGTAAGTTTAAAATGTGACGAAATAAACATCATTTGCAGTTTTATAAGTCGAACATTTATGTCGGACCTCTCTTATTGATTTGATCCAGTGTGTGACGTTAGGGCGTAACTTTAAAGCGACTGAGCTCTAGAAAGGACGGCTGTACGTGGGCAACAGGGACAATCTCAAAATGCAGTTAAATCCTCTCGTCAAAAGATCAACGATGTTATAGAAAATTATTTGTGTGCTTTTTAATTGATTCATCTAAAAGTGCTCAATGAGTTGAGTTCGCAGTATTTTTGAAAATTTTTTGCCAATACGGGAAATTTTTGAAATTTAGATAGAAAAGTTAGGAAATTTAGCGTTTAAAATTAGTTAAAAGAATCAAAATCAAAACTAAAAAATTATTATAATTAGTTAAAATTAAAATAGCGGAAATTAGCTAAATGCCCGAAATGACTGAGTGAATAAAAATAAGTATCGTGGAAGCTGTTGAGCCATTCTGACATTATTGATAGTTCAAGGGAAAAGTGTAGGCTGAGTGGCATTTCAGTGAAAGCTTAGGGTTCAAATTTTGTGCAGAGTGCGGAACGCCCCTCGGATAATTGGCCAGGGACGACCTTCTAGTATCAGCCGGGGTTTTCAGCTCTTATGACTGCCAACCTTTCCAAGTTCAAGTCCAAATCCGATGATAAACGACTGAGGGAAACAACGGATTATGGTGCAAGGTAATTTATATCAGTGCGTCACACTACTGGCACCTTGTGCTTACGCATGTCGCATGAATCATGACCATAAAAATGTAGTAAGAGGTACCGTCCAGGTGGATTATTTTTCCTCCTGGGTCTATCAGGCTCAATTTCAAGAGCTTCTGCAGTATTATCTTATCCGGTCGAGTGGTCAAAGCTTGTTGAAAGTTCAATCTCATTTTCTGTAGCGTTTCCTTCCCATTATGACACATTCGACCTTCTGCGCTTTCTGGAGTAGAGGACCGACGATTTTTGCCGAGAATGTCTGAATTTTAAAGCCTCTATTTGCGAAATTATAAAGATTGAGGGTAGCACTTACAACTTTATTTATCTGAGTGTTGTCCAAGTATAAATCCTAAAAAAAATTCGTTATCTTCGGTCAAGATAAGCACGTTTGAAGAGTCATTTCCAGAGAACTCGACGGGAATAAAAGCGTCTCTGGCTTTCTGAGCCTCGCGGCAGCCACACTTTTCATACATAGGTAACCTTTTCAGGCCCATTTGAAGTGTTTATTTATTTTGTTCGTGTATTTTTACACAATACCGCTATCAAACCACTCAGCCAATATTTCCCACTTGTTTTCTTTTCTATTTTCCGATAATCTATTCCAGCATGTTCCGTGGTAGAATTCTAAAATTATTAAGCTCCGATACAGGACAATGAACTTCGCTTCGACAGCTGCGCTAGCATTTGATGGATCAACGCAAAAGAAAGTACCGCAGAAAATGTTCCTACGAAACATAGAATTGGGACTTCATCGATTGAAATTATATCATCATTTCAGTGGATTTATTTCTAAAGCGAAATTGAAAAAGTAAAATCTGTAAGATATGTAAGGAAGGGACATTCACGTCAGGATAAATGGTACGTGCTTTGAACGTACTAAAGCGTGAGCTTTGTAATCACTCGAAGTAAGCACTTGAACCAAATTTGGAATCACATAACATATGAGGTGTCGTTTCGTGCCTAAATGTGGGTGTACCTGCGATCTAGAACAAATTTCGATTACCTAAATTTGTCGACTTTGTTTTTTGAGTTTGCTCCTTCCTTTATGTTTTCCCATCTTTCTTTATTTCATAGTCAAAGTGGACTAATGATTTTGAAAGCCCGATTCTGTCAGGTCCTTCCTTATGTGTGACTATCCTCGAGGTAAAGGACCGCAGTCGTTAAAGACTCAAAATTCAGTTATTGATACTGGAGCCTTGAGGAGTATCCCAAAACTACTCCCTGACAAAAACACGGCCATTAATATCACTCCAAACCGGCGCTAGCATGGTTTGGAATTTTGGTTCAAAGAAGTAAGTTTCGAGAGAAAGCTATTCAATATTTAATTCTGCCTTTTTTAGAGTACGAAATTGCCTGTTTATAATTTAACTTCATGCCCTCAATTGGCACAGAAATGAACTTTATTGCCCGCAACTTACAGGAGTAAGTTAAGGAGAGAGAATTTTCCCCCGAAATCTCACTCACCAATTTTTTGATCTGACTTGAAAAAAAAATACTTTAACTGAAAATAGTATTGAATGCTCCTCGGCCTCGAGAACTTGCACTTTCAGTTGTTTATAAAACAAATCGGAAGACCAACCGACATCGAGCATTTTGGATTGAGTTAAAGGGAAACACAAAAAGTCGCAACTTAGAAGAAAATTAGTCTGAAGTAGTCTGACTTCAATTTTAGTAGTACTTGTCTCCTATAAAAATTCAAAGTCGGGAAAATATATGATCGCATTTGTAAAAAGGGACCTTATTTACATGTTTACACCAAACCACCTCGTCACCTCGTCGTCGTTACATCGTCACCTTAACTTCCCTCCGGTAGAAAATGTTTCTCAATTTTTTTTTAACTCAGGAAACTTGGGCCCAAGTTTGACCCCGAAAGCTCAAAAATTAAAGGAGGTATGAATCCTGAAATTCAAATACAAATACTTGGAGAATGTTGAAAAATGTTGTTTTAGCTTTTGAAAAAATTTCCTCCCGGAAGATGAGATTCCTTTCTATTGATCCGGTCATAACGTAAAAATAGCCGGTTTTCTCAACCCTCTTCAAACCTGAACCTGCTGCGACTTTGTACGTTTCCTTTAAAGTTGGTCCATTTCACAAGTATCCTAAAATCTCCTCCTGTGAGTCACTGAGTGCGGGTCAAGGCCCTGCGGCGCCCCCGGCGGAGAAAATTTGAACTTACAGGCAAAGGCTGCGGCCAGCTGCCGCCTAATCCCCAGCGTGAGTGTCAACATTGCGGCGGGCTAGGAGGGCGTGAGACGGTGGATGCTCACGCTCGGAGCGTGAGAGCGTGAGGTGGAAGCTCGCCGTATGCGTGGGCGTGACGCGCGGAAAATGCGGAAAGTGCGGAGCGCGTAGCGTGAAAAGGCGAACTGAACTGCGACGATCGTCGCGGATCGACTAGCGCCTCAGCGACGTTGTTTCGCTACACTCGGCCGTGTTTTCGCGTTCTTCAGTATTCGCGATACCGCGGAGGGGGGGGGGGCTCGGGGGCAGCGGGCCCTTTACCGCGAGATGAGGAGATGCAGAGCAGAGAGACGTGATTGATACCGTTTTGACACCGGCGCGTAAACTTCCGCGCGGAGCGTAAGTATTGTCGCGCGCTGCCAAGTTGGATTTTAAACGCGGTTTTTGGTGAGTGAAAGTTTGGAGTGATGTTCAGATGCGTAAAGTCTCTGGTGGTTTGGGAAACCCGGGAAGATAGGGAAGTCACGACAACCTGGTAAAGTTAGGGAATTGATGGGATTAATCAGGGAATTTTGTGAGTATCGTTTAATAAAAGTCAGCGCAATCAAAGGGAGGAAATGTTGTTCCAAGGGCAGGAAAATTCAGGAACTCCAACGATTTTGGAGTCATAGTGAAAAGCAAGGCGTCCTGGAAAATCCAGGGGATTCATCGGAATAGTGAGAAAATTTTCTGAGTATATAATTCAATAGAAGTCAGCTCAATTGAATGGAAAAAAATCCAAGTAGAAGTTGTGTTCCAAGATCGGAACACTATTTGGGAAAATCAGGGAATCTAACAGTTTTGGAGTCAGTGAAAAGTAAAGAAAGTCACAAAAGTAAGTGAAAGTCAGGAAATTGGAAAATGAAGAAATTATGGAAACCTTGGAGTATGACCAGTGAAGCGGTTGAATAATAACGTTTAAGGTTCTACAACAATCAGATTTAGTCGACAAATTGAGGAATTTAGAGTGGGCGGGGGGTGTAATTAGGGGGGCGGTGTAACCGAGGGGGGGGGGGGGAGGTGTTCACTCTATTCTTGTTTCTCACCCACGGCGTGAATCCAATTCGTAAAATCGTGATACTTTTTGGTCTTGTACCGTAACAAAGCGGATAATTAAAAGCTTCTAACTTTTCCGAAGCTAAATTTAGAAAAGCTGTCAGTGAAAGCTCAGACATTTCGCAACATGGGAGTAGTAAGCTCCGAGAGCGCTGCCCACGTCTGAACTTGGCAATTCCTCCGCAGACGGTAAACAATAACAAACAAGCATGCTCGTGTGATTTTATTTACAGGCGCTCCGTTTTTGGCACCGACGGGAAACAACGGATTTTCTATACCTGCCGCTTATTTTCAGTCATTGATCTCCGCAGTGATACGACCGCCGTATCTCTTCCAATTTCGCCAGTGCAACTTTCGCTCCGCTCATTTTTATCGTTCGGAAGTTTGTCCCACGTGGAAATCTCTCTCGGAATGCGACATCGCTGAAATTGGGTCACGTTGTTTCATCGACGTTTGACGTCAACTGCAGAGCGAGGATTCAAAACATCTTAGGCGCCAGCATGTGTTGCAACTAGTTTATCGGGAGTCTTGAGGTTGCAGAGTGACAATATTTGTCCTGAAGTTGAAGCTTAAGTCTAACTTTGCAATAAAAATCCCAACTTTCGTGATGTGAACAAACCCTATACTCGAAAGAAAAAGTCACAAGGGACTGAGAAACTCAATTCCGCAGCAATCTTAAGCTAATCATAAGTATATGACATCATACTTAGTTCATTATGTACACATAGTATAAAATAAAAAAATTTCTCTGTGAACCATAGAACTCGCATATTTTTGAATAGAGCTATGTGTGTTTTTAGCCATCATCAGTGTTAAAGTATTGGTAAGGCATGTAAAAAGAAATAGGATTCAATAGTTGCATTTATCAGCAGAACAAAGAACTACTAACGTCAGTAAAAATAAAATCAAAACACTGTAACACCTACTTTTTCATGTCAAATAGTAAACGGAAATGAAGAAAAAATACAGAAATAAAAGAATAAAAAAAATATTTATTATCAGTACGCAAAGTTCATCAGCTTCAAAATGTATAGGCAGTAAAGCCTCCTAGGATTTTTGACTGTGTCCAGAACTACACAGACTGTGTGAATATCATTTTATTTGAAATGTATTTCTGTCAAACCATCGTCGACATTTCTCCAAAAATTTGCGCCGCCGAAACACCTTCAATGGTAGCCGCAAGTGAGCTATTGACCTACAGATACACCATATAGCCTCATCTACACGTGAATGGACAATCAGCGATCGCTGTCAACACCAACACGGACGGAACAATCGAATTGTACTAAGTTTTGACGTCATCCGACCTCCACTCACGAAACATACTTTTACGCGATGAGATGGAGAGATAACTAAGGGTATCGTGATCAGTATTTAAAAATGTTTGAATAAACAGTTCAAAAACCCTGAAACATGTCGAATTTAAATTTTTTTGCATTTAAGGGTAAAACGACTTTAGCTTTCTACATATACCACAAACACCTGCCAAATACCCAAATACTACCAATGTTTTAACTCTGATGACCTGTTGAGAATTTTATCTTTTCGTACACTCTGACATCTACACGGTTGTCATTGAAGGAGAATAAGGGAGCAACGGCTCTGCATGGTCAAATTGTCCAATTTTTCAGGATTATTCTGGTCAATTCCGATCAATTTTTAGTGTTTTTTTTAAATTTCCTTTATTTTTGCCTCTCAAGGAATTTAAGTCTCTCAACAATCTCTGACCCCCAGAATCATTTTTCTAAATGACACTTTTGGATGTCATAAAACGCCATGAAAAATGGCCGCCATTTTCCGATTTCCACGGCGCAGCGTCGAGTGGCTCTTCTCGCGAAGAAGAGGGGGAAAACTAACTCTCTCGCCTGCCCCCCCCCTCCATTCCAACCCCATCGTATCTGTATGCTCAGTCAGTTTTTTTCCTCGACTGCAACTTCGCTAGTTTACAATTGAAAAAACTTTCCTCGAGCCGTGGGGCGGTGGGGGGGGGGCAGGGGGCTCTGAAAAGAAGACGCTCGGTCGGCGAGGCGAGGCCGTAACTCAAGGATTTCATGGGAGAGTCGAAATTAACCGTTCAAAAACCCCCGGGTTCGCGGAAAAGCCGTGATTTTTCCTCCCGCGCCGTCTGCCTCCCTGCCGGTGCATAAGCAGCCACGATGCCAAGTCTCTCAGTATGATCATCTTTTTTACATCAGTTTAGTAGAAAATAGTAGATTTTACCATCTATTTGGCAAAACGGGGTGGCGGAGGCGATGTAATGCGGGAAAGCGTATAACGACGCGGAGGCCAAGGCAATTGAGGTTAAGTCAAGAGGCAAGTGTTCCACACTATTGCCGTGTAAAAAAAAAGGGGGTAAAAAAGGAATTCCAGGAAAGGGCCTCTTTTGAAATGTGTTTTGCGTGTGAGATAATTATCCGCCATCTTGCCTGAAAAACATACAGGAAAATATATCTCCTTTGAAGTGTTTTTGCTTTTGAAATAGTTACATTAGAAACTGTATTTTTAATTCAACTTCCAAGTAAAACTGAATTTTATAATGCGGAGCTTTGTATCACCGAGAACCAAAGATCCTTCATCAATCTGATGTATCAGGATTTGGTACAAGAGTTCATCTACAGTCAGATCAATTATTTTTGTTTTCTTTAATTGATCTTTTTCTTATAGAAAACTAAATAACAAATAACGCTTTAAAAGTTTCTGAAGATTTTTCCAAGATTACAAAAATAAATTTACCAAATGTCAAATCAGAATGTTGCCTAGTATTCTTTAAAAAAAAGACAAAACGAAAGGAAGTTATGCGTGCGGGCTAATCATTGAAATTGGTAGACAGAGCTGTAGACAAAGGAGACCAAAGACACCGATCCTATTGGTGGAACCGAATGGTTGCAATGGAAAAGGAGGTGTCGAATAATCGACTATCCGACAGTCTAACGGCGGCGAATGAGTGACCCAATAGTTAGTTTATCACATCAGCCATTAGTCTATAAGAAGCATACGTCTCAATTAGTAGGATTGCTTCATTTTCACATTGTCATCTTTGTTTATCGATAGACAAAGCAATGGACAAGAAAGGCAAACGGAAAATTAGGCGACCGTATTGGTTGAAACGGGTGGTTGTTACAGACTATGGAGTTTCCTCCATGGAGGAAAGTGATGGACTAATCAGCCAAGGGGCTAGGGTCAAGAGCTAGGGTCTTTTTTGGAGTGCCGTTAGTTAGTCTATTACTTTGTCCATTGCATCCCTCGCTTCCACCAATAGGATCTTTCTCTTCTTTGTCCATTGCTTTGCCGAATAATTTCAATGATCAGCCTGCAGCTAGTATAGTAAGGCTGATGCTAGTCAAATTTGGCTAGGTATTCGTTCATCTCTGAGTCATTTTTCTAAGGAAATGTAACTTTTCATGAGGTGAGACGACAACAAGGTAAGGATTTATGAAGGCGCTCGGTTACAGGTCGTGCCGGTGGATTCTGGCGCGGCGACACGAGGCGGGCGCGAGCGACGCAGCACGAGATACGGACGTGAGTTGCGGGTTGCGGATCCGCGGAAAGCCGGCGCGCCGGGCGCGGCTTTATTCACGGAAAAAAGGGGGAAAACACGGCCCCTGAAAAAAGGAACGGGGCGTAATGAGTTCCGAGATTAAAATAAGTAATGACCTCTATTCTATCCGCCGCCACCGGGCGCGCTCTCCTACTTTCTGCCTAGACCCACCTTTCGCTTTTGAGGGAACTCGAATACAGTGTTGCTGAGTTTTTCATTGGAGAATTTCCTGTTTTTAAGGTTAATGAAAACCGGAAGTAAACAAATCGTCACCTTCCGGCCAAAGTATCACAAGCGCCATGCGACCACCAAAAATTTCCGCCTTCATTTAATTTTTTCACAGAGAAATTGTTGGTTTGATTTGTTTGAAAATTTCGCTGAATTTTCTTTGTGCTGTCGATTAAAATCAATGAAATTTTCGAATCGATTCAACCAACAATTTCTCTGTAAAAAATAAAATGGTGGCGGAAATTTTTTTACGTCGCATGGCGCTTGTGATACTTTGGCCAGAAGGTGTCGATATAATGAAGATGAGGCTGCAAAAATGTGTATCTCGGTTGCGGTGTTTCGAAATCTCCACGTCTTTAGAGAGGGGAGCATTGCAAGTTCACGCCTCGCG